CAAGTTGAGTTGGGTACAGCTCAGCCCAGGCCGGTGGTGGGCGGGCAGGGGGAGGGAGGAGGCCTGCCCTCGCTGGGGCGTGGAGCTTCTCGGGGGTGAGTGGAGGAGTGAGTGGCTGCCTGGAAGGCAGGAAGTGGCTCTGCGGGGAATTGTGAGGCGGACTGCGAGGGAAAGGGGGCCTTGTTGAGTCCGCCAGGTGAGCAGCCCCTGGGACCCCCAGCCCCTGGCCCAGCATCCCCTGGGAGGGAGCTGAGGGCATTCTGCCTAGAGTCCATGGCTTTATGCAGGGCCTGGGTCTGGGGTTCTGGGGGCCCATGAGAAAGGATGGAAAGGAGAACCAGAGGGGGCTGGGGCTGGGGTGGATGACCCAAAGTTCAGGTGGGAGGCTGCAGGATGCCTAGTTGTTTGGCCCTTAAGGTTGGGCATGGCTGGAGTGTGTGGAGGGGCGTGCTGTGCCGTGCTGTGCTGTGCTGTTGTTGGGGAATGCAGGATTCCTGTCCAGTGAAAGCAGGTTGCTTCAACCAGGGTCGTGCAGAGAGCCAGCAAGTGTGGCCCTGGGGCTGAGGGTACAGTTGGGGTGGGAGTGGCAGCTACTGCCTGGCAGAGGTAGGGCCTGATCTGGGCCTGAGGCCTCTTACCATCTTCTTGGGGACCCCTGGGAGAGGTCTGAGGCCCCTGGGGCTTTCCTGAGCCTGGGCTAGCAGGAGCCCTAAAGGCCCACTTCTCTGAAGCTGATGCCTACAGCTGACCCGTCACAGGGGAGGGGCTGGGAAAATGGTACTTGTGATTAGAACACATCTTTTCCAGGGCCCTGAGACCTTGGTTCCCCTCAACTCAGCTCTTCAGTCCATTCCTGGAGATGTCTGTGCTAACCCCCATGTCCTGCCAGTGAGAGCGGCAGGGCACTGCGCAGCTCTCCCACAGCCTTGTCAGGGATGGCTCCAGAGTGAGCTGCCCTCAGCCTGGGGAGGTTTCAGCTGCAGCCCTCTTTCTGCCTCCAACCGGGTCTGGAGATGGAGATCTCACTGTCCTCTGAACTATGCAAGAATGGGTGTTGTCGATAACCACCCAGACTGGTCTGGGTAGGGTGGCCCAGCCGCCACCCCTGGGGGCACTCAAGAAACCTATTTACCCCTCTAAACAAAGGGCAGGTCCTCATCACTGCCCTCCTTTACCCAGACCCTCCTTTGCCCACTGTGCTTCCAGTGGTTGGACTAGAAAGAGTTAAGCTTTGCAAGGAGGGAGGCTAACTTGGGGCCCCCCTGTCCTGGGTACTGGCAGCAGCAAAGCCTTGAAAAGATCCGGCCTTATTCTCTAGGGGAGGGGTAGTTAAGGACCCTGGGCAGGGGGCTGGAAGCTAATTAAGGGAATTTGAGGAGGTCCTTTATGGCCAGGAAGCCACCCCTCCTCATACCCTGGAGTGAGGACCATTGTGTGAGTCCTTTGTAGGGCAAGAACTGGAAACTCATTACTGGGATGGCTTTAGTGCAGGTGGTAGAGGATGGTGAGAGAATTTAACCTGGGGGGCCTCGTCCGGGAGGGAGGCAGTGTGGGTGGGTCTGGTGTGGGGGGTGCTGAGAAGGGGAGTGAGGGCTTCTCAGGTGCCTCAGCCTCTCACCTCCCTGTGAGATTCCTGCCGCTGGACCCCTCCACTCTGCTGTGGCCTATGGCTTTTCATTCCTATGTGATTGCTGTCCCAAACTCATGTAGGGCTAAAAGCCATGGGCTACAGTGAGGGGCGAGCTCCTTCTCCTGCAGCAACTGCACCTCCCACGGGACCAGGTTCGGAGCCAGCCACCAAGGGGCACCAGAAGGAGGCTCTGCTTGGGGGTGGGGCATCACGGGATCTGGTAACCTGGGATCGGGTGTGACCTTGGCCCAGTCACTTCCCTTCTGGCCCTGTTTCCTCACTCTGGAATGAAGAGACTGGGCCAGTGATTCCAGAGGGAGATTCCCTCTGAGGAAGGAAGGAGACCTTCAGGGTGTGCTGAGCTTTCTGAGTCGGTTCCTTCCCCCTTGCCAAGTTACTGAGGCCTGGCTCATGGCCAGAGATTTGGGGGCTGGAATCAAGGGCCTCAGGCCATGAAGACTTGGGCCTGTGCTAGTGCCTCACTCCTTCACGCCTTTCTCCGAGGTCAGCTTGGAATCCGCAGCCTTTTTTCTGTGTAAGGAGACCTCTGGGCCCTTTCTGAGGCTGAAATGGGAACACTCCATGCTGGCCACGAGGGAAGAGGAGGTTTCTGCAGAGTGAAACTAGGAAGGCAGGCGCTCCCCCCTGGGCGGCAGGCTGGATTCCAGGGCCCCTTGTTCCTGGTGTGCTACTGTCTCCAGGAGCTGCCCCCTCCTGCAGTGTGTGAAGGGCACCAGCCCTCCCTGCCCCAGTCCTGCTTGTCACTCTGCTTGCCTGGCTCCTCCCTATGCCTGTCTCCACTCCCACATTCCTTCCCCTGCCCCCTTTTAAATCGGCCTGACTTTATCCCTACCATCCTGGAAGATTCCAACAGGTGGCTGTGGTAAAAGAGGAAGCATCCTTGTGTCCCGCCTTCTACCCCCTGTTCCAGTCCCCAGTCTGCCTAAGACAGACCACTGAAGAATTATAGAAAGCGCTAGATTTGGTATTGACAATCAGAAGGCAAGTTTCTTATAATATCTCAGAGCCCTTAATTTTACCAACCAACATTTACTGGGTACCTACTATGTACCCCATGATTCTAACCACCTTATCTGCACTAACCCATTTCATCCTCCAGACAGTCCTGTCTACTATTAGCCTATTTTACTTATAGGAAGTCTGAGGCACAGGGAGCTAAGAAATTGGCCCAAGTTCATATGGATAGGAAGGAGCAGAACTGGGACTTGAACCCACATGGTCTGGTGCCAAAACCCATGCTCTTAGCACATCATGCTGTATATTGGGAGAGCCAACACCAGTGCATGGGAAAGTACTCTGAAAACCAGGGAGTGCTGTACCCACACGGGAGGTTGTTCTCACGAGGTCTCTATTGGAGGTCTCTATTGGATGCACGTCCACAAATTGGCCCCATGGCCCAACTCCAATCACCCTTTGTCCATCACTGGTTTTCCTTTTCCCACAGGAGGTTGCGGGGCGGGGGGGGGGGGGGGGGGGGATCAGAACAATAGGAGAAGCAAAGAGAAATCCCAAGCCAGCTGGGTTTTTGCTGGGGCTGATCCAGGCTACTTCCCCTCCTGCCCCAGCTTAGATGGTGAAAGGAACAAGGCATGAGAATTGGCCAGGGTTTCTTACTTGCCCTCTGGGTTCTCTCACCCAGAGTTCAGAGATGGCTGGCACCTTCCTCCACCTCCCTCATTGTCCAGCTGCCCTGGGCCCACAGTGAGCCTATCCTATTCCCTACCCTGCTCTGAGGCTGTCCAGGCACCTGATTTGCTTTCCCTTAACTCCTGATCTCCTAACTGGAAAGCCAGGTTAGAGCCATGCTCGCTTCCTGCCCCCTGCAACTGGGTCCCTCCCAGGAATCCTGTTGTTCAGTTTGCTGGGGTAGTCCCCAGCACTGGGCTGGGCTTGGGAGGAAGGGTACAGATGAGCCATTCCAGAGATTAAACCTCTGTGAAGCTCTAGCAAGGCAAGGCACTTTGTAGGGATGGCTGAGTAAATGTTTGTTGAATGAAGTGTGAACTGGGAGAAAAGAGGTAAGTTGCCACCAGCAGAGACATAGAGCAAGCTCACAGCTCAGCAACTCACCCAAGACAGTCCTTGCTTTGCTGGGGCTGGGCCTGGATTGCTTCTGGGGTTACAAAGGTGGATCTCCATTCTATTCTTTGTCTTCTGTGGCTACTGCCCATGGGACAGGCCCGGAGAAGATATGCAATTGTATATTTCACATAATTGTTCAACTGCATTGAATAAGCAAGTTGCCCTCATGCCCCTTCTCCGTGGAGGATTCACAGATCAGAGGGTTGCGTATGTCCTGTCCCCTACCTGCAGATGGCTGAAACTTTATTCCCAGCAATCTAAGTCTTTTTTACAGTCCTCAGATATACCCAGCATAAGGCCTCCCTTGCAAGAGTGGGCCCGTGTTTAATAACACTGAATTCAGATGACTCTCTCTTATTGTATTTGTTCCATTTTTAGTGGAAATAGAGTTTGACTGCTAAGCCTTACTCCTTCCTAAATATAAAGACTATTGGGGGGAAAAAAGTCTCTGTCCCCAGCTTTCAAAAGTTTGACACTAAAGTCAGACCTTTGGGGTTCGTTCTGGCGCTGACAGTCTGGTCCACCGGTTCCCAGCTGCTGCTGTCTGTCATGTTGCCCACTCTTAGGGTGGGCCAGCCTCTGCCCAGCCAGGCTGGAAAACCCTGGGTGCAGGCCACAAAGACATTTCAGGACTATTGCTGTTCTGACCTCTCCAGCTCCCGAGAATCTCAGAACCACTGAGAATGCCTGGCTGCCCTTGCAGTCTGGAAAAGTGGAGGGAGCTTTCTCCATAGGTGGGCAAGCAAGATACAAGGGGGGCCGGCCCGGCAAGCTAGGGTCTGTGGCCTCTGAAGGCCATTGGAGGCAGAGGCCTTGGCCTGTGATTCCAGAGAGCTTGGTGAACCAGAGGCTGGAGCTCAGGCTCAAGCAGGCCAAGAAGGAGTTAACCTCCAAGGAGAATGCGGGTTTCTCCCAGACTGGAGGCCTGTGCCCAGTTTTGCTGCTGCCAACTCCAGGAAGAAGTCCTGGGATCTGTAGTTTGTGCCACTACCCACCCCTGGCCTGCCTGTTTATCAACACGGTCTTGTAGACTACAGTTCCCAGAAACCTGCAGAGGCTAGGCTTTGGGGGAAGGGGTGGGATAGGAGGCTCCGTGGTGGCCAGAGGGAGAGGGAGAGGGAGGAGGTGGGGAGAGAAAACCAATTCACCCCCTTCCTTTTTAATTCTTTCTCCTGGTGTGTCTGCTCCACCACCCGAGCTAATCCCCCAAATCCGGTCTCCTAAGCCGCAGCTGCTTCCCTTCGCAGTGATGAATGGCTCAGGGAGGGAAGGTGAATTCATATTTTAATTACTGAGGCGCGGTGCTAAGGGAGCCGGGGAGGGGGCGGAGGGCTCAGCTTTGTTCTAGAGGCGCCGAGGGCACACCCTCCTTACTGGGTCACTTCTCTTTTGCCCTTTACCTGGGGTGGGGGGTGGCGGGGAGTGAGGGTGGCGGTTGCCTTGCTGAGAGTGCCTCTGCTCTCTGCCTTGGGAGATGAAGGGATGGGTCGTGGGGGGCGCAATATCCCTCTTCTTGTTTATCAGAGAATTCCTGGCATGTCCCAACACTTTTAAATAGCTTCCTAGCCTTCCACCCCCGCTGCCGCCCACTTTGATGAAGGACATTGCCAAAATTGGAGACACCTAGGAGTTTGTGGTCTGCAAGCCTGGGGCCCTGGATTTCTTTTTATCTTACTTTCTGGCCTGCTCTGAGTCTCCTCTTTCTCTTGGTTCTTCCACATGTTCATACTGTCTCTGACTCACTGCCCCATTTTTGCCAGAGGTGCAAGGGTTGGAGGACCCTGGGAGAGTATCTGGCACAGAGAGATGTGGGGGTCAGGCCAAGGGAAGGGATCAGCAGGGAGGCCAAGGAACCTCCTAGTGGTGGGGGAGGATGGATTGGCATCTCTTCTGCTTGGCTCCCACAAAGCTGGCTGGGCAGGGCATCGTCTATGCCCCCAGACCGTAAACCATCTTGGACCTGAGCTGGGAAAAAGCCAGAGAGGAGGATGGGGAAGAAGCCAGGGCCAACAGCTTGCAGTCAGATGCAGCCAACTGTGTGACAGCAGGAGGTTTGTCCAGTGTCCGCCCCGCCTCTCTGTCCTCTTCTGGGCTTCTGGGGGCTGTTTTTCCATTCCTTAGTCCCTCCTGGACTATGGGCCTGGAAAAGGAGCGGGAGGGTGGGAGGGGAGTTCCCATGATGAGCTCTGATGAGTGGGGAATGGACCCAGGCACTAGTCCAGACTCCTCCCCCTCAAATAGATGCAGCAAAGGGACCTGACTTCAGGGAGCCTCTAGCTGGTACTGGAGCCCTCTGCCAAGGGTGAAGGGGTAAAGACAGGGAAGAGAGTTGACAGGACCCCTGCCCGGGCAGAGCAGAGAGGAGCAGAGACCACAGCCTGGCAGAGGGACTCCCCAGGTACCTGCTGCTGGGGACTCTGAGGGAGGAGTGGGGTTCACAGCGGGCAGGGGTCCACTGAAGTGGGTTGGAATTCTCTGCCCCATGTTCCCCCACTTCAGGGGCCAGCCCAGCAATCTGCCTGCTACAGACAGAGCCCAGACAGCCTCCTGGGCTTGGAGTTGTGCACCTTACAGTGAGGACCCTTTTAGAGACCCTGTTAGAGAAAAGGAAGGATAACCAGAGCACTTTAGAGCAAAGACCTAAGCAGAATAACCAGGCCCCGTTTATTATACTTTCTGCTCTTAGATGCAAGGACCCAGGAATCCCACTGAGGCAGGCAGCCAGCCCTCGAACACTTCTCGGGAGCCAGGCTGCAGCCCCTAGCCCAGCTCCTGGCCAGCTTCGTTAGCTCTCCTTTCCTCTGATGTGTAGGTTCTGGTTCCTGTGACTTCACACCCTATCCTTCCCTACAGTGACAAGCAGAGCCAAAAAGCCAGGATTTTCTTAAATTCCCCAAAGGACCCAGGGGAGGAACGGGTCACTTAAGGGGGTATATTTTGCTGTTTTTACGAAAGAACAGTCATTGAAAAGGAAGTGAGGTGAAAAGGGAAGGGGATCAATGCACCCTGAGGCCAGAGACCCTAAGCTGCACCTTGACCTGTTTGTGGGGCTACTACATACCTGGCTTGTTTTAGTTGTGAGTTCCTTCCCAGATCAGCCTTGTCGTGCCTGTCAGTTTCTCCCCATGTATTTTTCAATAATCATGGGAATGCTTTGTTGATCGTACCCTTGACTTACACCCCCAGCAAGAGAAGTGCACACATGACAATAACTGATTACAAGGGAATCCACCTGCCCACCCTCCCTTCTTCCTGATCAAATTAGGATTCCACCCCCTTAGGTTTGGGGTCTTAGTGTTAAACCTTGCCTAACCTCCTGGTACACACTGAAATGAGGTAATGAAGGCCCAGAGAGATGTAGTCACTTGCTTAGGATGACATAGCATGTTAGCATCAGAGCCAGGAATAGAACCCAGGCCACCTAAGTCCCAGATTGGATCCCTGTCTCTCTCTAGGTTTGTCACAGGAGGGATCCAGAGATAGCTGCAGTGGATAGATCTAGAAATATAGTAGTTGTGTCTTGGCTCTATATATATCCTGGAGGTTGCTCTCTGCTAACTATATATACTCTGCCAGAGTGGGTGTGTAAATGATGCTGGAAATCGGGTTATTAAATAACCAGCCTACCTACCCATGCTGACTCAAGCTGGGCCTCCTGCCCATCCAGCTGGCCAGTGGAAATGCATTGCACCTATTAATTACAGCTAATAGCTGTATTACTGGGATGCTGAGAGACTGAGGCAGGGGAGAATCTTGACAGGACTTGGCTCCACCGGGCACTGTGCTTGGTGTGGGCCTCAGCTTTGTCTGGAGAAACACGAAGGAAGTTTTTCCAAAAGGGCAAGGTTGGCCAGACCGGTGGAACTGTCCAGAGAGCCACCACCTGGGCCATGCCGCATTCCTCAAAGGCAGTGAAACCACTTTGCACATGTGCCTTGCTAGGGTAGCCCAGGACATCCTATGCAATCTCTATTGCTTGAGGGGCTGGAGAAGGGAGGTGCCTCATGCTTCTCTATTCCTAACCCCTCCGGCATAGCCCTGTGCCTCCCTCCTTCCCCGCAGCACTTGGGCTTCACTCACCTGCTTGTCCTCATGTTCTTCCTGGAGAGAGGAGTGATTCAGACCAGGCCCGGGCCTGACCTCCATGCAGGGCGCTTTCCTTCCTTTGTTCTCAGCTTCTCGGCTTGAGTGGCTTGAATGCACTTCTGCTCCCTTTCCATAGGCCCAGGGGCAGAGGAAGGGCAGAGAGGTGAACTGGAAAAATCTGCAGGTGGCTAAGGCTAGGGAAACCTAAATGAGCTTTTGTAGAAAGGGATACTCTTGCAGACTGAAGCTGAGCTCCCGAAGCTCCCTCTCTTCCCCAGCCAGACTGCCACAGATACCAGAGCGGCCCCTGGCTCCTGCTGAGGGCCGGGTTAGCCAGAGGTGGGGGACGACATGTCCAGCTGGGGCAGATCCAGCCTCAGCCTCTGCCTCAGACTTATGTGCCAGGGAAGAACCATGTCTTTACCCTTTTACATCTACCTCTCAACCCCTTTGCCCAGCATAGGTGCTAAATAAAAGAGCCTGTTGGCTAAAAGAACCCTCTTTGCTGTCTGTTCTCTGCATGGTGAGGATGGGATTTGCATTGCTCTGAGCAGTCAAAGGAAGGGCATAATCGCTCCCTATAGGCTTTCCTAGGGTGTCAGACAACTTGGGGTTGTTAAGCAAGGGAGGAATCTGACTCGGTCCCAGGTGTCAAAGTAAAGCTACACTGGATGAAGGGGTCTGCATTTGGATGGAGGAGGGCCTGTCGTGTGCGACCTGCAGAAGCGAGTGAAAGCCCCCAGCTGGAACCTGTGTAAGGTGGCACAAGCCAGAGTCTATTTTAAGCCAGCTTGCTTCCTGTTCCCCAACCAGGTGTATGGTGATGAGGTGAGGCAGAGCGGGTGGGAGGGGAAAAAAGGAGGCAGCAGCTGGGCTTTCTCTTTCCTCCCTTGGACTCACCCAGTCTCCAATGTGAGGAATGACATCAGCTCCACACAGATCAGGAAACACTGAGGTTTCAAAGAGCTGTTGTTTGGAGGCCTGACTCCTCCCCCAGCCGGTGTGAGAGACCTAGCAGGCCGCCTCAGGGAGTGGCAATGACTGGGCCAGACCCAGAGGGTTCTGGGAGCATTAACCCCAGCTTGCTTCTCTCTTCCTGCCTTTCTCCTGCCCCATCTCCCTCCCCTGCCTTTCCCTGCAGATCTCTGGTGAGTGTTCTCCCAGCCTGGTGTAGGGCATGCCCCAGTTCACTTTCGCCTGCTTCTGTGGTCTCCATGGCTTCTGCAAAATGAAGAGGAAGAAGGAGGAAGTTCACAGAGAGCGGGAGACGGCGGTGTGAGCAGAACCAGGGCCCCTCCATCAAGCCCCCAGCAGGTCCCCGGCCTGATGGTGCCCGCTTCTGTCTGGGGCTTGGAGCAGGAAGCCGTGTGTGTATCTTAAGTCTTGATTTAGCCAGTGCTCTTCTCAGCCTGACTCTCACCAGAGGGCATCAGCCTCCTGTGTGCCTCTCATCCTTCTCATGCCCACCACACCCATTAGCTTCCAATTCTCAGACCTCCTTGGAGAGAGGCCCCAGCCACACAAGGGGGAACCCCAGGACCTGCCGCATGCCTTCCAGAGACTGAGAAGCCCCAGGGAGGCCGAGGGGCGAAACTTCTTTCCTGCCCTGAGAGCTTCGGGGGACTCTTCTCAGGGTAACCGCATGAGGGATGTGCCTCCTTGGGCTAGGAGAGCTGTTGCTAAATAGGAAACTGGCTGTTCTAGCAGAGAACCTCCAGCAGCCCTGACCCTGGAGAAGGCCTCTGGGGCGGAAGTGTGAGACTCTCCTGGGATTCCAGGAACCGGGGCATGAGTCCTTTTCCAGCCCCCTCCCAGCATCCTTCTGGGCCAGGTGGGGCCAAGCCTGAGGTGGTCATCCCAGTGAGGAGGAGGGCAGAGGTGGCCGGCGGCCCCGCGGTTCCCTCTGTTCTTGCTCTCTGGAAAGCAGTGTTTCCTCCAGCCCTGGCCATGACCCACCCATGTTGGTGATGCCGGCGCCTCCTTGCCAGCGGCACAGATCGGGGGAGGCCTGTTCCCCAGGCCCTGACTCCCCTCCTCAGGGAATGTCTTGCGGTGGCCAGACCGAGGGGCCCCTTTCCTGCACTGAGCCGTGCCCTCGCTCGATTCTCCTGTCTCCCCTGCCTTTTTCTTCTCTCCTCAGAAGCCATAGAGGGGACCGCGTTTGTATGTGGTGCCTTCAGGGGAAACTCTTGGGGTGGGGGACCTCTAGGACTTTCCTTGACTTTTTCCCTTATCTCCCACGCCCATCAACCTTCCAGCTTCAGTCTCTGCCCTTACCCCCAGCCCATTTCCAGGAGGTAGGAAGCAAAAGAAAAAAACATTTCCTTCCCTCTTTCCTTCTTCCTTCCTTCCTCTCTCCCCCCATTTTGGTATAACTTAGCCTTTGGTCTTTGATCCTGGAGTTCTCCAGGGCTAGAAGACATGCAGACAGGAATGCCAGCGGCAGAGACGCTTCCGGCAGATTCTATAAGCCTGTTCTCCCGCATGGGGGGAACAGCTCAGCCAAGGAGCAAAGTCAGATCCCCTCTAGCTCCCCAGGGACAGAATAACCCTTCTGACAGGTAAACAGGTGACCTGGGTAGACAAGTCAAGGCCTCAAGATAGGAGAGTCTGGGCTCCCCTTTCCTTAGAATGTGGGCCTCTCTGGGCAACCAGGGAGGGCAAAAGGCTTCCTCGGCTGGTTCGCCCAGAACCTGGGAGAAGCAAGGGCACATTCTATGCTGGCAGCCTCTGCCTGCCCAGCTCATACCCACACTCAGGGCCCTTTCCTGGGCTTTGGGCAGATTTGGTGGGATCCAGGTTCTCTTTATGAGGCTTGAGCACAGCTTGAGCTCCTCCTCCCATCCTCCATCCCCTTCCTTTGCCCCTACCTCCCAGCCCCCGCCTTCTACAATCTGTTATTTCCTTTTATATCCAAAGAATTGTAAACAGAAGTCCTTCCCTCAAGGAAACAACAAGATTCAGCAATAAAGGCCAGTGGGGTCGCAAAGGAGAGGAGACAAGCTCCCTGGTTATTTGTCCTCTTGGATAGTAGAGGCCTTGGGTGAGGAAAAGAGATGGGCAGAAAAGTTAGCTTGATACAGAGGCCGGAGAGCCGCCTGGAGGGCATGTGTGTCCCTAGCGGTCACCTGCGAGGCTGCAGTCCTAGAGAAGTCACTTCTGTGGCAGAGGATGAAACTGTATCCCCGGAGACTCGGAGGTATTGGGTGTTATGTCCTGACCACACGGGCTCATCAGGAGGAAAGGTCAGGAAAGCGGAGAAAGTGCGTCCTGGGGAGTGGGTGGCTGAGGAGAGCTTTCCCCAGGTGTGCCTCTCAGACCTTGGCAGGGATTGCGGCTGCAGGGGGTTGGCGGTGAGCCCATCCAGAGAACCTCTTCCCCCGGGAGAACTCCCTTGGCTCCAGAGGGATACTAGATATCTTGAGCCCTGGCTTTGGGAACACGGGTGGGGTCCCAAGGTCAAAATGTTCTGGGTGGAGGTCCAGTTGTCCTCTGCCACCAAGCTGGCAGTCCCTTCTTCACCCAGGTCTGAGGTGGGGGCCAGCACTGCAGCTGGAATGGTCTGAGTAGGAGGTAGCAGCTTCTAGCCAGGCACACCCCAACCCCACATTCTGTTGTCCCTCGGTTTCCTTCTCAGGGAAATGGGGACTTTGCTCCTTTTAGCATCTCCGGAAGCAGTCTGGAGACCTGTGCCCTCCTCTAGGCCCTTGAATGAGCCCAGGGAATAGGGAAAGACCAAAGCAGCTCCAGCATTCACAGACCCTGCACCCTGGGCCTCTGACTTCGGGCCAGGCTTCTGCTCCTTCTGGGGTGGGCCTGGCTGCCCTGCCTTCCCATCCTCTCTCCATGGTTCTGTCCCAGAGACTCCACCTTGAGGTGGGGGCCCTGAGCCCTTGGGGTGAGGGAGGGGCACATGGGTTGATGATTCTGTGGAGGAGATCGGGCCTCTTGTTCTTGCTGTGTGGCACTTATTCCTCCTTGCAGACAGGTGGGGGCATCAGTTTTCCCCATCTGTAAAGCGAGGACTTCCTATGGCCATTTTCCCTCTTGGGCTTCAGGCTGTTGAATGGAAGATCAAGAAGTGTGAAGGGTGCTTGGGGTCCCTGTGACTTGAGTGTTGCCTAGGACCCTGGCCCCCAGGACCCAAGGGGCTTCTTGTCTCAGGTTGAAACCTTTTTATTAGAATGTCATTTCCTTCTCTGCTCCCAGGGAAGGGCTTTTTGAATGTAGCATATGGGTTCATAGAAATATATAGGGAGATTGTTACTTTTAGAAAAAAAGAGCAATAATTAACTAACTGAAATACACATGAAGTGTTAGAGTGGGACGCAAGGAGCACTGAGCTGGGAGCCAGGTCTCCTGGCTTCTAGCCCTGCTTGGAAACTAATGACCATGTGACCTTAGACTAGTCATGTCTTATTTCTGAGACTCAGGTTCCTCAACTGTAAATAGGGGATTACATGAATTTCCTCTTAAGTCTCCTTTGGAGTCCAGGGCTCTGTGAGTCTGGGAGGTTGAGCCTCAGTGGGGCATAGGGTTGTGGAACCAGAGGTCGCAGGTTTCCTCTGCCCTCACAGATGCACTCTGTGCAGACAACAGACATGTGGGGAGAGTGGGTAGAAGTGGTACGGTGGCTCTGAGAAGTGAGAGGGGGAGCGAGAGGGAAAGGCAAGTCACCCAGAGCTTCTGCTAGTATCTTCCTCTAGCCAGGGCCCAGGGCTCCCTGCAGTTCTGCCTCTCTTCCCTCCTACAGCCAGGCCCAAAGGGAGTAAGTCAGTTGGCCTGGACTCTGACTCCAGGTCCTGTCTAGGCCATCACAGGCCCCACTCTTATGTACACTCTCACTTTCTCTCTGTCACATACACACACCATCACCACCACCACCACAACCACCTGCAGATAGATGCTCAAGTGATTCTAGAAGAGATCTCAAGGACTGGCGCCCTGCTCCAGTTTTGTAACCCATGGGCTTCCCTTTGCACAGCTCCTCATGTGCCCATCTCCATGCTGATCAAACTACCCCACCTCATTCCTTGCCTTCTGCAAAGGGAAGAGCCTCAGGCTAGAGTTTGTCCTGTCTACAGACTGAATGTGCATTTTGCCCAGTGGCTGGGGATGTGCTGGTGGAATGTGCTGGTGATCGTTTCTGGATGGAGAGCCACAGCCCCACAGTGTTCTGCCATGACTGACTCCTGACCTTGGCAAATTGCCTCCTCTCTCCCAGCCTCCTCCATAACAGGTGGCAATGAGTCCCATTTCCTCCCTACCTCACAGGAAGGCACGCGTGATAAAGGGCACACTTATCAGATGTGCCCAGATGTGGCTGGAACTTTTGGAGACAGATACTTGGTTCACAATTGCAAAGGTGGACTTTTGCCAGAGAAGAAACTCTCTGGGCTGCTGAGTTCAGTGGGCTCCTTGCAGACTGGTCCAGGAGGTCTGGTGTTCCTCCTGAAGGTGGCTGCTGTGCCCAGCAGGCGATCAAGCTGACAATACCACAAGAACCAAGAAACAGAATCTGTTCCCAAGGAATGAACGTTCTATCTCTCTGACCCAAAAGCAAGAGCAAGAGAGAGCCGTCACCATCATCACCCTGCTCCCAACACAAACACAGCCCCTCAAGTCCATATTGCTGACAAGGGTGTCTGGCTCGTCAGGGTGAATCCTCTGGACCCCCAGGCCATCCCTGGAGTGGTCAGTGCACACTGTGTCAGGGTTGTTGTGGCCAGTCCGCCTGGGTTCCCTTCTCTGAATTTCCACGGGATAGGAACTATAGGATCATGAAGAAGAAATAGGAACCTTGACTCTTCACAGAGGAGCCCAGGAGGTCAGGACCATCCACCAGGAGGGTGAGTGGTAGCTGCCCAGGGCATCCCTGGAGGAAGTCATCATACTGAGGAAGAAACTGCAAAAGCCAAGAGCTCCTAGACCTGGGCAGCTCAGGAGCTGGCAGAAACCCCTCAAGTCTGGAGTTCAAGGGTTTTCCTTGTGGGCTGCCGGTCTGTCTCTTTCCCTTCTGGGGCAGCCGTCTCTCCTCCTTCAGCTTATTCCCGTGTTCCATCCGAGGGGCGGGAGGAAGGCAGGAGGGGGAGATGGCAGGACCCAGACAGATCCTCAGGACTCTCCCTGCCTCTGTTGCCATGGCAACACTGCTATTTTTATCCCGTTGTTCATGATGCTCAAAGCTCTAACTTTCTCTGTTCCAGAGAGGCCAGGCTGGCTTCTGCCCTCATCCTTCAATACAGCATCTTCTCCCAGAGGCCTGAGGATGGGAAAGAGTGATGGAGAAAAGGGGAGCCCCTTAGGTCACCCCTCAGCCAGAGGGAAATGTTTAACAGGGGTTTGTCTCTGCCCTTTTGAGCCTTTGGTTTTCTACCTGGCTTAGGCACCCAGGTTTATGTTTTCTAGATCAAAACTCCCCATGGTCTCCCTGAGAGACTGCTCCAGAGAAAAAAGAGCTGCCAATCAGGATGGATTTTTCCTACACACGTATGACACTGCGGACACTTCCCTTCTTGGGAAAATCAAACTTCATTCTGAAGAATGTCCTGTTGGTCGTATAAGCCAACCCCTGCCCTCCTAAAAGGGGATAGAGAATTAAATTTGGTTAATTAGCAATCAGATTCACTGGGGAATTGCAACTAGTAATTCCCTTTCTTCTGTCCCTCCACCAAAAAACTGGAACAAACGGCTTCATGTCTTTGTCCAGTCTTTCTGCCTAAAGCAAAATAGCATACATTCTCCAGGCTGAAAAGTAGGTTCCTCTCCACACCTACTCAAGACGGCCACATTTCAATCCAGGCTCTTGAAGACAGGGGTCTAATGAAAGGATTTCTCTTCCTTCTCTGTTTGTTCCCTCTGGCCCAGCTTCTAGTCCTCTCCTTATGTCCCCACCTCCATGGCAGTGGCAGGAGACCCCTGAGAGGCAATGGTGCTAACGTTCCCCATCTATATACCCCTATGTAGTTTATCAAGATTTGAACCCAGCACCTGGGTGGCTGTGTTGGGCGGATACATTTCACATCCTCAAGACCACAATCCTGGCGACAGGTCTGGATTAATTCCGTAAACTGGGAATCTATATCATGCTGAACTCCCGCACTGAGGTTCTATCTTGGCTGAACTGACTCGTGGATGGTTAAGTTTCCTGGGGTGGCTGGGACCCATTTACTAAGCCTCTAATTGGTTTCATTTTGGCTCAAGTTGCATGGTTTCCCGAATCTATGCACCTGGAGTAAGCACTTTTCTGGTTGCCACTGAAAAGCATGCCGGCAAACGCTGCTCTGTTAATTGCTGTAATAAACAGACTTTATTATATCCCTTTGCAGTAAATGTATTATGTTGTCAGGGTAGAAGGGGCATCCATGTTTATTTCACACTGTAATACACTGCAGCAGCAGAAGCTAAACATTTGTTTCCATCAAATCTGCTGAGAGGAGGGATAATGGAGACTTGGGGGAAGAGTCAGGAGTATGGACATAAAGTGAGGTGTTGGGGCCAAGAAGGAGGCTTTGGGAGACACCCCAGGTCCCCTGGAACTCCGTGAGCCTCACTTGTGCTATCTCTAACTGAAGGAAGCCAGGCCTCGTGCCTCTTACCATCTCAGAAATAATAGTGGGATAAAGCCAGCTAGAGTGGGTGGGTGTGAGGAACAGGGAAGGTGGTTTAGGACTACAATGTGATCACATAGTCTTAAGGTTCTTTTAAGAAAGAGAAAGGGCCAGGCGCAGTGGCTTATGCCTGTGAAGCCGAGGTAGGAGGATCACTTGAGCTCAGGAGTTAAGACCAGCCTGGGCAACATAGCCAGACTTTGTCTCTACTATATATATATATATATAATTAGCCAGGCATGGTAGCATTCACCTGTAGTCCCAGCTACTTGGGAGGCTGAGGTGGGAGGATCCCTTGAGCCTGGGAAGAGATCATGCCAGCATTCCAGCCTGGGCAACAGAGCAAGACCCTGTCTCAAAAGAAAAGAAAAAAAAAAAAGACAGAGAAAGAAAGAAAAAAAGAAAGAGAGAAAGAGAAAGAAGGAAGGAAGGAAGGAGGAAAGGAGGGAGGGAGGGAGGGAGGGAGGGAGGAAGGAAAGAATCCTTAGTTGGGCTTCTCAGAACTGAAGACTGTGTTAACAGAATTTTCAGACTTATAAAAGAGAGAAAGATGCTGTAAGATGGCATAACATTAAGAACAAGAATTATATCATGTATGTGATTATATATCCATAAAGCTGTTTGAAAAAGAATTATTGTGTCATAACTCCACTTGGATTGGGGGAACAGATATTCCAATGATCTCTGAAGCAGGAAGCCCTGAGAGAGGGCAGAGAGATCAGGCCATCAAGTCTAACCCCAAAGCCAGTTTCCTGTAAGGCAAGAAGTGATTTGGGGCAGGACAAGATTCAAGTATCACATACGCAGCTGTTGTTTAGAGCTGTGGAATGACTGCTCCTGAGAGGGCTGGCTGCCTCTTCTGCAGGCTCAGCCACCATTACGCATAGCACAAAGCGCTCACTAAGTGTTTGTTAAGCGGTCTGGGGCAGATATGACCCCAAGCCTTTCCATCTTCAGGAATTCGCCGAGATACCTGCCACAGCCCCTCTGCTGTCTGCACCCCAGCCTTCACCCTCTTGCGTGGGGAAATGTATGCTGTGCACTGCTGTTGACTGAATCTATTCTATCAATATTGAGTCCTGGCTC